GTTTTTAATTTATCCGTTTTATTAACTAGAACTTCACCAATGACAATTTTAATACTTTTGACTGTTCAACCATACGGAAATTATGTTTCGAGATCAAGACTCACCCGAACTGTGATTATTCGGAATATACGAATACTTGCGACAATTGAATTTGTTCTGTTACTTTTCATTGTACTAATGTCTGAAGAGGGCTCAAACCGGTAGCCGAAACTTGTAACTTGTAATGTATTAGTTTATAGTCTTATTTTTTGGCGTGATGTTTCATCGCGTTTAATATAATATATAATTTTATGTAAAAATTAAAAAATGTGGTTGACTCTTACTTCGCCCGTTGATTGAGTTTTGTTATTATTTCCTACATTAGACGAGTTCATAAATTTCCTTCTTAATCAGAGCAAATGTTTAGAAGCGGCAAGTAGACTCGCAACCTGCAAGTATCGATACTCATAACAGTAAAACCTAACCTCTCAAGATCAAGGTAAGAGCACTTCGCGCTCATATGTTGCCGACAATTCGTCTTGTTGCATATGTTCGAATGATCATAAAATTTATCAATGTGAATGATAAATGATCATTTCTCAATATGTCAGTGGCTGAGAGAAACGCTGAAGCCAAAAAGAAACGTATAAAATGCCTCATATCACAAAAATTGCAAGCATTATAATTATCAATTATGTAAAGGCTATCATAACACATTATTGCATAAATCTCGAAAGCTCGAACAGCAGAATTACTTATTAAGGATGCTGACTCTACACCTTCGTCTTCGACATCTTTATTAAAAGCTGATGAACCCAACAATACCAATCTGCAAGTTACAACTGCCTTAAAAGCAAGCTTACTCGTTCCTGTCAATCACTGCTTTAACTATAAGGGAACATTTACAAGTTCTTCTTTCCACAGCGATTCTGTTCATACAGGATTCGCACAGAACATAAATGCCGTGCCCTTCTTGACAGCGGATCATAATCAAATTTCATTACGCGTCGCTTGAGTAACAAATTGAAATTGCCATATGAGACTATCGACAAAACCATTTTAGACATAAGTGACAAACCAATAACAGCCGCAAATAAAGGTAGTAATTAAATATACAAGCCCGTATCAAACAAAACTTCCTTTCCTAATTCTTAAGAAAACAACAGAGCGTTTACCGACGGCTAAAATAAACAAAAACAATTTATGTATTCCTCATGATTTAAAGCTAGCAAGTTATCACACGCCGGCGACATAGATTTGTTGTTGGAAGCAACTGTTTTTTGGGAGCTTTTGAGACGCAAGCAAATCAAAACGTCAAAAAGGCCCCCATACTTCAAGAAACATCTTTAGGTTGGATAATCGCGGGCAACGTGCAAATGATCTATACGCATCAGCATCTGACTATGGTAGGTGGAGCACTTACTATGGTATCTCTACCAACGCAACGATTCAAAAGCAGCTCGAAAAATTCTAGCATATTGAAGAGTTAACACAGCCTCCATGTCATTCACAGGAAGAAATACAATACGAGAAGCACTTCGTCACTACTCACTCTAGGAATGTAGAAGGTCGTTTTATGATATGATTACCCATTAAAGATATAGGCATACAGAAAAATCCTACGAAATCGCCGAAAAACGATTAGAGTCATTAGAGCGCAAATTAGAAAGCCAACTGGATTTAAAGCAACAATATCATGAATTTATGCATAAATACTATGATTTGAATCACATGTCGGAGATTCCAATAAATGAAATTGACAACATGTCTGCCTATTACATTCCACATCACGCAGTGATAAAGGAAGATAGCGAAACTACAAAACTGAAGGTAGTTTTTAATGCCTCGTGTAAAACGACATCTGGCCAATCGATTAACGAATTCTTCATAACTGGACTGGAAATTTACAGCAAGACCTATTTGACATCATCATTCGTATGCGTCAGCACAAGTATGTATTGGCGGCGGATATTACGAAAACGTATCACCAGATAGAAGTGGTCGAAAAGAATCGTAAATATCAACGTATTCTGTGAAGATGAAACAAAAACAAATCGTTCGTGTATTTAATCTGAATACAGTCACCTATGGTATGTCCAACTTTTTATTTATGGCTATTAGATGTCTCCAAGAAACAGCACATCAATCCAGGAAGGATTATCCTCGTACAAGCGAAACCATATTAAAGGAAACCATATTTTATGTAGACAACTTGCTAACTGGAGCCAATTTAATCAAAGAATTAGAAGAATTAAAACACGATGTCACTAGCATACTATTTAGCGCCAAATTCAAACTTACCAAATGGAAGTCAAACGCTCCTGAAATAATTGATCTAAGTATCGATGAAGCAACAGTAAAACTTGGTCAAACAACGAAAATTCTTAACCTTTGGTGGAACACGACAACAGACATATTCCATTATCGCGTCAAGTTAAACAATGACAAAGAAAAGGTCACGAAGCGTAACATGTTAGCAAAAACAGCTGAAATCTACGATCCCCTTGGATGGATAAGTCCAACAATAGTTCAAGCCAAAATTATTTTGCATCTCTGGTTGATAAACAAGGACTGGGATGAAGATATCACTGGAGAGACATACACAATGTGGTCCAAATGGAGAGCGCAGATTTCACTGTTCGAAAGCATCCTTATTCCAAGAAGAATCCTATGCGATAATCCAACGAGGATAGAAATGCATGACTTTTGCAGCATACAGGGTTGGCCATATTCGACGGAAAGATGTTTTTTTGTGTTAATCATGGGAAAAAAAACACATTTTTTGCTTTTCATTGTAAAAGCCATTTAATATGGTTCAAGGAGATTTGTGTACATTATTTGTTGAATATGATATCTCTTAAATGATCGCCTTGAGCCTGCATGGCGAGTAGTGCCCGTTTTGCAGCGTTTTCCATCGTTTTGAACAATGTTTCGGCCGATATGGCGGCTATTTCCTGTCGGATGTTGGTCTTAAGTTCGTCTAGGGTCCTTGGCTTGTTGACATAAACCTTTGATTTCAAATAGCCCCACAGAAAGAAGTCTGGAGCCGTTAAATCTGGTGAACGCGGTGGCCATTCAAAATCACCATTTTTTGACATCAAACGTCATTAACAGTTTTTGCGTCACTTGAACTTTGTATGGGAACAAATGCAAATCATGATGCAATATGCGACGTAAAGTGGTTCGTTTTATGCCCAACTGCTCAGATCGACGTGTTTGAGATGTTGTTGGATACCTCTGAACACTGGCCTGTACGAGTGCGATATTATCATCCGATCGCCTTGGTCGCACTTTATTTGGACGCTTGGGATTAGTGAGTGCCTCACCAGTTGAAAATCTTTCATACAAACGATACAATGTGTTCGCGGAAGGCGCACTTTTCACTTTATTTATTTTTCTCCATGCACGTTGAGTTTTAACAATTGACTTGTTTTGTTGAATGTAAATTTCAACAATCTGAGAGCGTTCGCGTGGCGTGTACTGTTCCATGGCACAAATTTCCTTCGACTGACGCTTCAAACGCGCTACGTCGTTACTCGATCTAACATCTCTGTCAAAAGTTACAGTGTTGCCACATCTTTCCGTCGAATATGGCCAACCCTGTATATACGTACGTGCGTGCGTGCGTGCGTGCGTGCGTGCGTGTTTGTATGAAGCATGTATATACATATACACAGTGTTAATTCAAAGGAAAAATACATAACAAGGCTCTTGTGCGCTAAATCTTGGATAACCCCGACAAAAAGAATATCCCTCCCAAGACTAGAATTGTGTGGAGCTACATTATTAGCACAATTATGTCATAAAATCTCACAAACATTAACCATCCAATTAGAAAATATATATTACTGGAGTGACTCCGTGAGAGCCAAGCATGGATCTCTAGCGAGGCAAACAAATGGAATATCTTTGTCACAAACAGAGTTGCCGAGGTAAATCACTTAACAAACGATACTATAATACTTCTTAGTACCACCAAATCCAGCGGACCCATTATCAAGAGAAATCAGTACTAAAAAAAACCACGATCGATGAAACTTTGATGACAGAGGTCTGACTTCCTGCATCATAGAATGCAACTATCCCCATCCAAGTCAAGAGATGTTTCCAAGAATATACCAGAAGTCCGTACAATAAGTTTAATAACGCAGGACACAACCATGAAACATGATTTAAGCATCATCAAAGAAAAAGCAAATGGGCGACTAACAGTTCAAGGATTAGACAAGGTATTAATGTCAGCAATAAAAATTTGTCAAGCCAGTGAATTCCATCAAGAGCTGCATGATCTTCGTAATAATAAAAGATTAAGCCCTAAAAGCAATATATCAATTTTGTATTCCTTTTTAGACGCAAATATTATTCGTGTGGAGAAAGGCTGCAACACGTCCCAATAAAATATACTAGAAAACACCCAATCATACTACTAGCAAGCATTACCTTACAAAATTGATAATCAGAGACGCACATTATAGGAACTTGCACGCTGAACCTTAAACAATATTAACAGCTGTGCATAATAATTACTGGCCTATGTCAGGCATCGAAACTATTCGTCGCGTACTGAGGAAGCATAGCTTGTTTTCGTTCGATACTCATAACGGCCGCATAATTAATAGGTAGCTTGCTCATTCATCGAGTTACTCAGGCACGCGCATTTTTCAACACAGGCGTAGATTACGCCGACCCATTCAACATAAAGATATCGCATAACAAATCAAGAAAGGCTTACCTGTCCAGCTTTATTTGTTTGTGCCCTAAGGTCGTATTTTGAATTAGTAACAGATCTAAGCACGGTATCATTTCTTGAGCAATAAGACGATTTATAGCTCGTAGAGGTAGATGCGTCAATCTATACTCAAATAATAGCACTACTTTTGTTGGCGCTAATAATCAGTTATCAGAATTAAAAGAGTTCCTTGCCAAGGACTCAACCCAAATACGTGAATACTTACAGGACAATTTATTAATTGAAAGTTTATTCCTCACACATGGGCGACTTATGGGAAGCCGCAGTTAAATCTGCCAAAACATATATGAAAAGGATTATTGGTATAGCCATACTAAATTTTGAAGAACTTTATACCGTTTTAGTGCAAATAGAAGCGTGTCTAAATTCAAGACCTCTCATGCCAATGTTTAGCAATCTTACCGATCTACAGGCGTTGACCCCCGGACATTTTATTATAGAAGAGGCTCTAAATGCAATACCAGCATATAATCTCAACCTGTAGTAGAAGTACCTGTAGAAGTACCTGTAAACGTTTAACGCGTTATCAATTAATTACACAATTGAGATAGAACTTCTGGTCAAGATGGTCGCGGGAGTACATATTTCAGCAGCATCAACGCTTTAAATGGAAGCGCAAACATAAAAATAGGAACTATGGTATTAATAAAAAATGAAAACATTCCCCCGATGATCTGACCATTAGGTAAAATCACGCAAACACAATCGGATGGAATAACGCGCGTAGTCTCTATAAAAACTAGTCACGGATTAACCAAGCGAGCGTTAACTAAAATATGCGTTCTTCCCATCGATGACAACATGCAGGTATAACATGCAACTCAGTTCCTATCACAAGACTACAAGATTGTTTACAATTGTAAGACAATATATTATTAATACAAGTTAGCGATAAGATTATATTATTAAGATAAAATTATTAAGATTTATAATTTGCGATTCAAGGATTGTGATTATTCCACAATGTATCGATTTCATCATAAGTTATGTACGAGAATACTATTATTATCTCTTGTTTGTTAATTAAAGAAAGAAGATTTATGTTTTATGTAATTATCTAAGCTAAAATCGTATTATTGACATTTATTTCTTATATATTTAACTTGCGTTATGATACATATACATTATATTTGCGTTTATTATAATAATATTTCGAAAAGTTAGATTTTCCAAAGGGGGGCAGAATGTTTAACCCTTGATTCTTATGCGCAAGCTCTGCTATTACACTAGCCGGCGCATTCACTATGGCGCCTACGGTTTCCTCTCTAAAAAAAACTACCAGCGCCTATGGCTCCCTCGTGGGGCCTTTCCCGCCATTATAGTCGTCGTCATTGTACCGTTGCCAGCGAGTGTGCAATAAAGCATACAAAGTCACGAAAACCTCAGTACTTACTTCCACCCATCCGCATATAAGACGACCGAGTAAGGTCGCAACACATGCGCAGCTCATTCGCTTGTCGCGTACGAGAAATGTTCAACTTCGCCCAACTTTTACTGCGACATCGCGATACTTAGAAAAATTGTATGTATGCTTATTAGACTGTGTTCGGAAATTTATCCGGGTGCACCCATGTATTATTTATCCTCGTTTAACATTTGGTGAACAACAAATAAAATAATACATAAATGCACTCGAGTAAGATTACTCGAAGATAACTTGGATGTCGCGTATCGCGTGTCACACATCGCGCTAGTGTGCAAGAGCCATGAGGGTGCGATTACATAGAGCGCGGTACGCGGTAAAGTAACTAATAATAACTAACTAAGCAATTAGGAAACTGCGTACCGTCTATTTCTTTCGCTAATATTACATGAAGCGTATTTTCGTTATCCAAACACGACTAAGAAGTGACTACGGCCATTTTCGTTTATAGTTATGACGTCACCGATGACGCTTTAGCTTAATAGAAGCCAAACATCTAACCAAACCGGGGAGGTCATTTGCATGTTTGCGGTTACCTGTTTGAGCGGGAAAGAGTCCGCCGCTGCAAATAGTGATGGACAACATAATCTCAAACCTTGATCAGTATATGTTGTGTCAGGATGATTCTGGTAATATCCAAATGTCGGAAGATCCAAAAAACCAAGGGCTTCTAGTATATGATAAACTAAGTAAGTAATTAAGTATATTAGAAACGCCATTTAACCAAGTTTTATATCCTCAGTTTGTAGTCTAATAAATTTTACTCTCTATTCTCAGACAATTCCGTTTTTGTCGCCCCAGACAATAAAGAAATATGCCAATTCCTGCCACATACACGCCTTATACAGCAGTCAGTTGATCAAAGTGTGTTCTCAAATTGATAGTGTCACTGCATCTTCACCAATACATGAAGAAATATGGGTAAAGAACTCGGAGAAGCCTTCAGTCCAAATGTAGAGGCAACTCTTATTAAGTTTGTCGGAAGTGATCGCTTTAAATCTCTGCTAAAAAACAAAACAAGCAAAAAGAAGAAACTCACAAATTGCCAAAGAAATGATGACTCTGGGTTATAATTTTGGTAATCGAAACCCGGGTACAGTTTGTTTTCAAAAGTGGAGGAACATGGAGGGAAAAACTATAACATTCATTCAAAATGGAGGGCCTAAGAGCACTGAAGTTGGGAAGTTGAAAAAGCCTGCATTTTATGATAAAGTACGAGACATTATTAAAGATTCCGCTAAGGCGATCCCAGTTAATTTAATGGATACAATGTCAGACCTGTCAAACCTCATCATCATCGGTATCAAATGATTTTTTAAAAAGCAGTAAATGTCCTCAAGAATTCAATTGCAGCGTCAAGAATTCTTACAAGCCTCTCATCTGACGATGATGCAAAAGAATTGATTTCCAACCAGAAGAAAATGTGCTTTTTTCTAAAAGTACAAAATACTACCAAGGCCAAGAAACGAAAAGTTGACAACACCTTACTGGAGTTTTTAAAACAGGATTCAAAAAAGAGAAAAACGCAGAATGAAAATCTTGTGCAGCTACTTACTCAAAACATGAAACAAAAAAAAATCGAAAAAACAAATGTTGGAAATTCTCTCTAAATTATTTAACAAATAATGGAAGATTCACAATGCGTTTGATGTCACATTGTTTTTCAATTCAGTTTACATATAATTCTATATTTATATTTTTTATATATATTTGCTCTGATATATGATTTATCTTTAATCCAACCAAAGGATAATTATTAGAAAAAATTAGCTGTGATAAAGTAATAATTATTTCGTGTAGAATGCAACCAAATATATGTCTTGTGATTTTAATTACCATTGCTTATGAAGCAGCAATAATTTTTATTTTAGTTTCAGAAATATATTCAGTTATTAATTAATATCACATGATATTAGAGATGTTTTATGTTTGATTACTGTTAATTTTTTAAAATTTTATTACATGTAAGTATGTGGCACTTCTCAAGACTGTTAACAAGTTGCTCTTAGTTCGTAATGCCATAAAACAGGTCTTTCGTTTATACTATTATAGCGTTTTCGATTAGTTAGATACAGTATTAGTATTTTTTATAGTATTTATTGTCAGAGTGCCGTATATTTAATTACTAGAAGTCTGATATGTTTGTTTATGCTCCGTGTTGACTGTTATATTGATTTTCAAATATATAAGTGTTAAATGATTATTTTGAAATATATTTGTGAAGATGATATTAATTTTGAAAAGAATGTAAGAAAAATAATAAATTCCATATAATTCTTTAGAGTTTATTTTGTATCCACTGTAACACATAAAAGAAAAATAAATTTCAAGCTATAACAAGCTGGTAATGCGGTTCCTCTTCTGTATAGCAATGTCTATATTTGCTGCATCATTCCCTTAAATCTTGCTGCATCTGTTTATCATCATTTACCATGTCTTGAATAACATCATTATTATGTAGGAAACAGAAATTATGAAGTACACAGCATGCTAAAATAAAGTTTGTAGCCCTGTCAATACGTTTGAGTCTCAATCTCAGTAGGCATCACCATCGTCCCTTTAGAAGTCCAAATGCGTATTCTATGACAGTTCTTATTGAACTATGGACGAAGTTATGACGCCTTTGAGTCAGAGTGAGATTTTCATAGTCCCTGGAAATGAAAGAATAGTATATAAATTGAAAGCTACATTTCCTACCTAATATAAGAATATTATATTAAGCATATTTAACATTGCATATATTTATAAGATGTCATGAGACAAGTTCTGTTAGGATAGGTCTTATCATCAACAAAATGATTGTAAGGGTTTTAAAACAAGCTCTCGGATCCTTCCTGGATTACTTTTTTGTAGAAAGTTGAATATTTCAAAGTACAATCATTACAAGATCCTGGTGTACCAATGGAAACGTTGGTAAATATTTTAGTAGTTGTGCAAATATCTGCATACAAAAATTACTTTTTAAATATTGCTTCAATTTCACTATTTGCAGATAAAAGATTTTTATTCATCACAAAAAACCACCTTGTAGGATTATAGAATGATTCATCTTCTTGTCTGTGTACGAATCCTGATCATCAGCTGGAGTATATTGACAAATATATCAATGTGACAACCGTCAATGGTACCAATCACATCTGCAAAGTGTGGACATAAAGTATTCTGTATAATTGATAGCAGTGAAGGATTAATATATAAAAAGTGACGTATACAGTTCAATTGTACACATCACTTACATCGGTTCAATTTTTCAATGCTTCAACAATAAGATTATATTATTTTTAATTAAACAATTATTGATGTGGGCAATTGATACACACGTATAAAACAAGTAATATACACGATGCAAAATAACATACCTGGATATCCTGCTCTGTTATAAAATTGTTGTCTTACAAGTGCACATTCATGTTCTTTAGACTACTCTATAAATTTAGGGCTTAATGTACAAAGAATATCAACGATATGATTAATTTCATGATATACTATAGAAGGGGCTATACCAAACTGGTCACTCAAACTCTCCATTGATGACTGATGGCCAGGTACCACAGTCATAAGTGTTGCCTTGTCAATTGTAATATCACCACAATGCATTTTGGGCACATATCTTGGGGCAATAACTTTGACAAGTTCTTTGAAAGTGTCCTTACGCATCCTATAAAAAATAAGAAAATTACATGGATATCACACAAAACATGGCGTAAAGAGTATCACATAGAATTTTCTGTGATTCTTACCGAATAGCCGATGAAAATTAAAGTCCAAGTAATACTGGACCCATTCTTCGCCGCACAAATGTCCTAACCTAAAATGCTGCTGTATATCCTCCTTTTGAAATAGCAAAGCATTACACGCTGTCCCCGACTTACTACATGCTATGGTAAGTAAGTCATCATCAAAGGTATCCCCTTCAAATAATTGTATCGCTAATGCTAACGCTACCTTTATTTTCTAGTCCATATTTACCGCCAAGTATTATTCGTGTTTCCGTAGTAACAGTGAAATATTATTTTCGATAATGGTATTTGTTTGTGACGTCACAACACAAAACATTCCTAACCAAACGCTACTGTGATTAGATCGAAAATATGCCTATGAAGCGGGGTTTATGACGGACTAGTAATAAACTCACATTACTATACACTGCTTATGCACTTTTTATTGAAACTAATTGATTTAAACGCAATTATTAAGTAAATCTGTTAAAAAAATAAGAGTATCAATAAAGTGTGCATAAAAATAAGTTAATATATTAGGTTAAGTAAAAAGTCATCGCGTTTTTTTAAAAGACATCTATCAGTAAAAACCGCAATTACTTTCTTACCAACAATATAAATATATCTTGATAGAGTAAAGTTTCAGCTTTAAAAATCTCTTTTTTTAAATTATACGATACGACAATTTTTATTGGAGTTATGAGCAATTAAAATTAAAATAATTCTTTTATTTAATCCGCGATAACTCAGTAATCAAAAGTCGTAGGAATATTTAAAAAAAACGATTTTGTAGGGAAAGTATCAAGCTTTCACGATAGGTAATCGAAAATTTTCTCAAATTCGTTTTGGACACTTTACAAATCCACAAAGTGAGAAGAAAATTTTTCGTCTTTTTCAGCTCGTAGTTTTTGGTATGTAAAAATTATCAAACTCATATAAACTTAAAAAATGTGATAAGCTTTTAAAAGTAGAGATTTCAAGCTTTAAAATCCTTTTTTTAAATTTGAATTTCATTCATTATTGACGAAGATATTGTATATACAACTTTGAGCTAAAAAATATGCGATGACTTTTTACTCAACCTAATATTTTTTTAAAATTCATATTAATGTGAGTTTGTTACTAACTCGTACCGCAAACCGCGCACCATGTAATCACATCCTGACATATATCTGCATATGCGCACTGTTCCTAGGGGGAGAACGCTGAGCTAGGGTGAGATAGCACGGACGGATAAACGACATGTCCCGGCAAATTTAAATTAGGATTACAACTATTATATTTAGAGATGTCAAAAATGAATTCATAGGCCGAGCAGAAACTTACGGAACCTCTTCTAGATAATAATTAAAGCTTAGGTAATTTAGTTAATGTTGATTCAATGTTAACGTAATAGTTATGAAATATGAAAGTTACAGTAACGTTAGGTTGATTAATGAAGTGGCAACATACTTTTAATTTGTCGAAATGATATTGTAGATAAAACTGATTAAGAAAATGATTAAGGGGAAAGGGGATATCGCTTTCGATACAATTTATGAAAGTAAATTAAAATAACTGTAAGATGAAATAATTATATTAAATAAATCCAATAATAATAAAACGATATATGAAATGACAGTATATGTGAAAATATGTATAAATTGCAAATATTTATTAATTAGTGGATAGTTAGCATGGGCTATGATTCAGCATTATAAAAAGATTCAACTGATACATTAAATAAATATAATAAAATAATTCATCTTCATTTACAATCTGATATAATTGGAATAGTAAATATAACGCTATAATGTGTAGACGTAGTAATACGAGGTCTGGCTATTAAATAACGAGACTGCGCGCGCAGAAGGCGTTCTAGAGGGATAGGGTGGGAAACGAATGCAGCGTTGGATAGCTGGAAGTGTCTACTATTCCAGTACGAAAACACGTTTTTGTCGCAGTAGTAGTATTTTTTCTATAGAGGTTAGAAACGAACTTGTTTTTTTCTCGTGCCGATAACAATGTGTGACGAAAAACATGAGCAACGGATCAATGTGAAATTTCTCGTTAAATT